ATTCAACCGAATAATTTAAGGGTGGAATCCATTTTTTACTTACAAAAAAAAACAAAACAGAGCATTTAGAATTTATTACAGAATAATTGACGAATGCTTTATCGGTTACATGCCAAAATAATATTCAAAGATTTAACAATGACCATTCAGCATTTTCCATGAATTATGGATCCCAACGAATCCAAATTAATAAATAACGCAGCAAAGGAAAAGAATCGAATTCTTCGGATTCCTTGCAGCCTACTTCTCCCACAAACACCCCCAAAGCCAAACAACGCGCTGGGGGTAAGTAGGGTAGGGTTAGCCATGATAATAAATATTATAGCAAAAATTAAGGGGTAATAAATAACACATATTGATACATGCAGGAGCAAAGCCCGGGGAGTGCGTGTCTCGTAGGTCGGGTCTTACGCTTTGGGATATGACTTGTAGCTTTTAACAAGTTGAATGCATACAGCTTTGGGAGTGCGCAAGTGGGTTTTACTTTTATCAGTGTTATTGACTCGTGATTGCGGGGGGCGTCACTTTTCCAATGTCCCTGGTTGGTTTCATATTGATTTATGTTGGTGTTACATATGCATATCCGTACGTTATGTGTGCAGATATTCTGTGTTTGTTACTGTTAAGATGTTCCTCCGATCATGCTAATTAAGTTGGCGAGACTTGCACGCTTCTTTAATCTAGACTTTAGGTCCTTGCTTGTCCCATCTGCTATCTCCTCGATCCTATCCCCAACTCCCGCCTCGCTATCTTCTTCGCATCAATAAAACCCTCACTTATCATCTATTTGTATTTTCTAATGCATAGTTAATCAGGAGTAGAGTGTGCGCGTCCATATATATATATATATAAATAAACACCAGCGTGTTGTGCCTGTGTGAGCCCCTTCAGTGAGTTTGGCAGCATCATCACCTTGGACTTTCCATTTTCGAACTTCATTATGGAGCGGTAGCTATCATCAATGTCGATGAACCACCCAGCTTCATGTATAGGTCATATCATTTTTGCAACACATGTATGGATCAAAGTAAACCAAAGAATTTTGACCGCCCCTACTAATTGCACATAATTAACGACGAACGACTTATACATAAATGCATGTCTTTCAACTTGTTCTTCAATTTTAGCAACTTGTACTTGTCGTCCATATTGCTTGTCATTCTTTCTATTTTTCGGCTGAATGCTTGTCTTTTTTTATGCACCTTTTCAACTGGACCACATCGCAAGCTCTGGATTTCTCATTTGACCTAAACTAACAAAATTTCTCACCACGTCCTTTCTTCTTTTGGTGAGGAACAGGTGGACGCCAGTCCCCCTTTTTTTTTGTTTTCTTGTTTTTTTTTTCCGGTGGGGGACAACTATATATAAGCAAAATTGAAGTTTCCTTAAAAGTACAGTTTCTTGGCTTCTTTATGTGCGATTGGTTTTCTTTGATACGTACGGAGTATACATATGAAGAGGATGGATTATGGATTGCCACTGATCTCAAACTCCCATTTCAAGCTGTGTGTGACGCCAAACTTCTTCGGGAGTTGGGTGTCTCATGATTCATATTATTCATAATTCTAATAAAAATGTGGTCTGGTGTCATCGAAGATGTGTTACCATATTCATATAGCCTTGTTTTATATTGTTCTTCACGTTAATTCCCACTATGCAACTTTCACTTGAACTACTACAATGAGGCAGGCTAATTACGGAGCAGAGTGGAGGTGGTTGCTTTCCAATTCCCCTGAAATTCCTACTTACCAAACACTCTCGATAAGCCATAACGTACAACGTCAACCGTCAATATGTATTTATGTTTTGTGAGGGGAAACTTCTCTGATTTCTTCTTGTTTTCCCACGTAGCCCTTAAGTTTAGTATATATTGTACTTCTATCCAAATGGAGTTGTACGTTTTGTTGTTGTTTTTCTTGTGCATGTGTTTAACTTCAACCCAACTTTATTTCTTTGTCAGGTTACTTTCACTTTTATTTCCAATGCGATGTCCTCCCACATCATCACGACTCATGACAAGTGACTTCCATATTCACTTCATAATTCACCTCTTCGACCCACTTCCCTATCATGGTGCTATTTAATATATGGTGAGGTCTCACATCATGTGATTAGAAGACTAATCACAATTATAAAAGGGAGTCATGACTCCATTCAAAGTAGTTTAAGCTATTTTAGTGTAAGTGACAGGCCTTTATGTGTGATTAATGCAACTCTAATATGGTATCCTACATGGCTGGCGTGATTTAAAAAAAAAAAAAGGAGGGAAGAAAAGAAAATAAAAAATATTAGAGAAAAAGATTAAATGTACGATGGAGTCCTACGTCCTGTGATTAGAAGATTAATCATAATTAAAGAAATAATGAGTCTATTCAGAATAGCGCGCTCAAACTATTTCTATGTAAGTGACAAGCCTTTATATCTCGTTAACACATGAAACTTTAATTTAATAAGTGGAAAGTTGTGATTTTGCTGCTTTGACTGCCAATGAATTGCAAAGAAGAACTTCCTATTTGTCATGTGGTCTTGTCGGTCCGATTCTATCAAATTAAATCTGCCTCAACACCTATTGCCTCTTGCGATTAGTTTTTATCTTCCCTCCTCATTCAAACCAAACCTTAAATCAGAAAATGAAAATCCACACCAACCTGCTAATAATTCCATTAAAATCAATTACAATATATCTTTTACTTACGTATCCATTGCACATACGTATAGCTCTAAATGCCCCGTGACATTTACAACACATACAAATAATGAAAAAGTGATCAAATTGCATATATGTTTGGATGAGTGCAAAATACAATTTGCTCCTGTTATAATTGAATAATCGGATCCCACCTTTGCTCGCATTAATTGCGTGATTGAATGATGGCAATGTGCAAGTGCTTTTAAATGGATTTGGACTTACTTTACTCGGATGGATATATGCATGAAATTTAATGGGTGTGGCACATTGATGAATTTTGTCTTTTGAGGACTCACTGCCAATTAAGCTTCTGCGAAAGGAGTATGCATTATTAGTTTATTATTGAAACAGCTTAAAAGCATGCGTGCCCCATCCATAAATGAATGGGACGATGGAGAGTAGCTAGCCTTCCTTTTCTTTCTTTCTTTCTTTTTTTTTTTAATATTATTTGCAAAGACATCCTTCTTTTTGACCAATTGAGTGAAGGACCAGACTTTATTTTTCCAGAGATAAGGTCCTTATCATTTTATAATGAATGGGAAATCAATAACAAGCAATGAAATTAAATCCCCAACACGCCTGCCCTTGTGAAGAAGTGTGCGTACGTGTTTCATGCATCATTGAGGATGAATTTGATTTTTCTGGTTAAAAGAACAGCCTTTGCTTGAGGGTCTCGCTGATGTACCAAAAAGTGAACCAAGTACGTACCAACATAGATTTAACTACATGCCGCGTTTCGTGCTAGAATAAACCATTCATTGCTTTAAGTCACATTTCTCAAAAATTGATCAAACCAAGCCACATATGTCTCTTTTCTTCCTTTTCCCTCACTAAACTACACCCATTCCTTTTTCCAAACCCCCCCAAAAAAAATTATTTACCCACTATGATTTTGTGGTTTTCGTTTTGCATTTTTGTGATGTGCATTGCACAAACTTCAAAAGTCTGTGAGCGATGATTGATAAGGAAAGGAAAGAGTTGAGATGAAGGTTATCTATAAAATTTGATCTCTTGCCATAACGTCAAAAGCAAGAGATAGAGATCTGGGAGTCGTCTTTCATTTCTGGCAGCAATCGCTCCTTCAAAAGACATGAAAATGATAAGTGGGAAACGTTTCATTTGACATGTGGCAAACCACTTTTTAAATATCTCCCATAATTTACAACCACTTCCTTGCACTTGTCAATAATTTTGGACAAGCAATCTCGAATAATACTACCTCCGGTCCTAATTATAAGAGTTAGTTGACTAATTTGAGGAGATTAAAAAAAGAAATTAAGTTAGTTATTTATCAAAAATAGGTGTTGTCTTTTCTAAAATATCCTTACTAATCAAGTATATTGGCTAGAACTATTATTGTTAAAAGGATTATCAAACAAGACCCTATATTAAGAGCTGAAGGTAATATTTCACTTTATAAACGAATGAAATATTTTAATAAGTTCATAAAGATTTGGAAAATATTAAATGTTTACATAAGTCATAACCATATTTTAGATCCCATGCAGAATTTTCAGTCTTTTAATATTTCTGCACAAATTTTATTAGATTTTTACGCTTATTTTGTATTTTGTTAATATTTCTCCACTAGGATATGTAATTTTTTTTTTTTTTTTCACTAATGGCAGTGTGGCATTGGCACCAGTGAGCGAGCCGGTGGGGTGGCGTGGGTTGGGTTGGGTGGAGGCCGGCTTACCCCCTCCCCTTTTTTACTTTTGCCAAAAAGAGGAATTGAAACAAAAGGTTAAAAAAAAAAAAAAAGGTCATGCACTACACTTTTTGTCTGTAATTGAAAAAAATTATAGATTATGTGAAAATTAGACTGTTCTCGCCTTTGGTTCAACCCATTTGCACGTCTATAGTCACAATGAGGATTAGATTTTTTTAATTTAATTATTATGTTTTATTTTCATCTCTGTTTTACTTTGTATATTATTTGAGTCTACATTTGAAATGTTTTAATTCTGATTTTGTTTCAATCAACATAACATGTCTTTAATTAAAGAGTCGTCATGAGATTATTATTTATTATGCGCACAATTTGCTTGAAAAATAATCATTTTATGGATATAGCTAGTGTAACTTAACTTTTATTAAGTGGGTATTTGAATAGAGAACAAACTATAATTTAGAAGTGATTTCACGGTATACAAAATAAATATGTGAAGTAATTTATCTTGATTTGTAAACAAATATTTTTAAAAAACATTTCTTCTAATTCCCAAACACTCCCTATATTAAAAATAAAGTTCAAATGATTAGTGCATCCCGTGTCAGTTCAATGCTCTTACCGCCGCGTTACTCCTGTTCGTGCCTGATTGGGTGCTTCTATCATTCTTCTCTTCCAACCTAACTGACGAACCAGCCTTTCAGTAATGTGGTTCTGCACCTAACAATAAAGCGGCTAGGAGAAATTAAAGTGGGTCAAAAGTCAAAACTCGGAAGCCAGAAAATGGTGATGTGGGTATTCGGGTATGGTTCTCTGATTTGGAAAGCTGGCTTTCCATTTGATGAAAGCGTCGTGTGTTTCATCAGAGGCTATCGACGTGTCTTCCATCAAGGTCTTTCTTCTTGCATCCATATCTCTTTCTTATCCCCTCCCGTGTGTGTTCAATTCAACTCTTGATTAGACAAAAGACAGCGTCGATGATTTGCTTTTGCCAGGCAGTACTGACCACAGGGGGACCCCTGAATACCCGGGAAGAACAGTAACCATCGAGCCTGCCGAAGGAGAAGTGTGCGTAAGTCTTATAAGCTGCATAATTACCACGCTCACTTTTTCCTCACTCAACTGGTCGATCTAGGCAAACAATGCATGTGTTTCAGAGGTCTTGCATTTGATTTCATGTCATGAAACTTGCTACGGTATGAGTTACAATGTTGATCATTGTAATTCATTTCTGTGAAATTCTAAATCTTGTCATTAAAATGGAGTGGAAGAAGCTCTTTGCCTTATTGTCGACTTCTCAATGTTATTCTAATTGAACTATATCTTCACTCAGTTTGTTTGCTAGGCTAGTTAGTTGGACATAGCCATAATTGTTGCTTACATAATTCATCCTTGTTTAAGAATTTACTTGGAAAAAAAAAAAAAGGTGATAAGGGCCCATTTTCTTTTCTCTCTCTCTTTTTTTCTGGTTGTAGTTATATATATCAGTGTGCGTGTGTGCGCTTCCCTTGTCTTGAGTGCCTAAGCGGCTAAATCAAGCAGTATGGTCTAATCAGTTTCTGTACTTTCAATCACTGTGATTAAGCACCTACAAGATGAAATAGAGTCTTCAAAAAGAATAAAAGTATTTTAACTGCCTGTTGGTGGTAAAACAAAAATTATTTTTCATATGCTGTCCAAATTAAGACCTTTTATTTGGTTAGTTACCGTGACCTTGTGTGGCAATATCTTCATTCCACTCCTTGATGTTATGTAAGGCTTTTGCACTAAATCTTAGTTGTGTCATGAATTAAAATTATTGAATGCAACGTTTCACCATGTAATTCCTTGATTTTGCAAGGAGATAGTGGGGAGTTGCTTACAAGATCTCAAAGAAGGAAGATCAAGAAATTGCTTTTACGGTAGGCTTTTTAACGTGCATATCCTTTTGCTGTTGCTAGACCCTAAGCTTATATATGGATATGTCTTTTTTTTTTCCCCGCTCATGACCAGTGCCTACTCTGTCTGGTAAGGAATTGGAACTAGTCAGAACATGCCTTATTTTTGTTCTGATGTTAATGACTGTTAGTGTGAATTTTACTGTCACATATATTAAGAGTCTGTTCAATTGTTGTGCTGTTACCACACGTTAATGATGAAATTCAATAGGATATAAATCAGACATAATCTGGAATGGAAGAAGACTACATTTACTAATTCAGGGCCTGATGCTTTTCTAAGCATGATATCGGTGCTTTGTTTAGTAAGATTAGTACTTATCCGCTTTGAAGTCCTAACAGCAAAATTCTTTTTTGAATATATCCTTTATATAAATCAAAGTGAAGGAAGATAGTGTTATTTGGTTTAAGTCTTTTAGTTGACTCATGTAGCTTGATTATCCAAGGAAGTAGACAGGAGCCTGGAAGATCTTTAAAACGCATTGAGCAATGATGCGGGAACTACTACTCTGACCCATGAACGAAACCACATGCATTAATTACTGGACGTTTGCTAGGGACAGCCATGAGAGGCTCAAGCTTAAGTCAAGCTTGGAAAGACGGACAATGGGGAATGACTAGGCCTTATGATCCCAGTATTCAACTACTGAACAGTGAAGTCCGGTTGGTTATGATAACTTCGTAAAATTGAAATTTTCATCCGTCAATCTAAACCACCGGACAAAGGCATTCCCCCTCTCAAGCCCCACAGAAAGAATCTTACGATTTGAGAGCATTATAACCGCTAACTTACAGAAATTTATTACAAAACGACTTTTTTCCTACAGAGACTGCATTATGCTTGCCAAGCAAGGGTAAATTGTTGCAAAGGACTCAATGCTGGCGAGAGGCCGCTCAGTCAATTTTGATGTATCCTTGATTGATATATTTTAATGTAATTATTGTACAGTATCTTGAGGTGAGGGAGAAGCAGTATGACAAAAAGGCCTACCTCGATGTTTTCACTGTGAGTAACATATGCCACGATTCTTCTAGCACCTAGATGATTAATGATATGTCAGAAGAGTTAGTTGTTGATGGAGTACAATGGTTTTGTGCAATTGATATAGCCAACTTCACCTAGTGGGATAAGGCTGCTTGTATTTTATTTTGCTCTATTAGAGGTTTTTTTTTTTTTTTTTAATTAGCATCCGCTAAAATTTGTTTCAGGAGCTTACAGCTACAGTTCCAGCCATTTCTGGAGTGATGGTGTAAGTGGAAGAGACACTGCAGAACCTTTTCGTTGTTTACATGTCTCATCATCAATAGTTAAAATAATCGGTATTTGCATATTACAGATACATAGCATCTCCAGACAAGAGCGTCAACAAAAATTACTTGGGCCCTGCATCTGTTGAAGAGATAGCGAGGTTTGCATCTTTTGCCCCATCGTTTTTGGTCTTAAATTTTGGCATAAATTAATCTCTACTTAGCATGATAGATTAGTTACTTCAGTTTGAACTCTCATCTTGAGTATTCAATCCCATATCAAGTACAAGCTTTTCGAAATTAGTAAATTAGTAAATGACTAGTGATTTTCTCACTGGATAGTTGTTGGAAATCTACAAGGTGATGATTAGTCTGTGGTGAACTATCATGTCCAGGAAGCAGGTTGCTAAGCTTACCCGAATTTGAGGAAAGATAGTAGAGACAATTTAATTCATGTGGTTGCTTATGTTATTCTGTTAGTTCTTGTAAGTAGCATCAGTTATACAGATTCATGTCAGGTCAAACCCCCACGCATCTCTCCCTCCCTCCCTTTCTTGTTTCTTCTGTTATCATGCATGATATTTAGCAAGCTAAATACGGAGGATCATGTTGAATGTTCTGTCTACTTGCTATATCATATAATGTGATTCGTGCTACAGAACTGCATGTACTATGGAAAGTTGGGGCTTAGTTGCTTGTCATTATGTTTCATTTTTCTTCCGACATTGTATTTGTATAGGCAAATAACTCGGGCAGAAGGTCCGTCAGGACCCAACAGAGATTATCTTTTCCAACTTGAGAAAGCTCTTCTTCAAATAGGTGAGGTCTACTTATGAGAACATACTGATCATTCTAATAAATGCATGTCTTATCTGTGTCTTCCTTTTCTTCTAATTAATTGTTCTTTAGGATGCCAAGACAAACACGTCATGGATCTTGCAAATGAAGTTAGGCGTATTCTTTCAGAAGAGAACTGAATGTTGCAGGCTGTTTTTGGCACCCAATGTGTGGACCTAAATCCTCAAAATGGAGCAATCCTGTATTGAACTACATTCTAAACTTGTATTGTTTCTAGACACTGGTAGAAGATTTATATCCATGTTGAGGTCATGCCTCTATAATCTTTCAGATTAACAATGGCACCATCGCAATGCATACGTCACTGATTGATCAATTACGTCACAAGGCATATCTAGCGCAATTGTTTTGTATCATGTTCGTGATAGCTTAACCTCATGCGCGACCAGTTTGTCTTTTCTCAATCTTTTATTTGTTTTAGCTAAAGGGATAATAATGTTGTTGCCACGGTTTCACTAGTTCTTGCCAGTTGCGCTGACGACTATTAGTAAAGTATAAATTGGAAATGGAAGGTGGGGGAGGTCAATAATGTGATTTCCGTTTTTAACGCATGATTTAAAAGAGAAGGAGAATTGCTGTAAAGTTCTAAAAAATTACTGGAAAAGCTTTTGAAAACAAATTATTTAAGAGTTTCCAAATTATAAGTGCATCTGCCCAAAAGAACCACATTATTGGTTATCATCGCCCTGGGTCATCCATGAAAACTAATGCCGCAGGCTCCAAATCAGGAGCTTCTATTCCCCATGATGTATTGACACTTGATTCCGGTCCAGTTACATCAAGTCTTCGCGAGGGGATGAAGACAGTCATCCACCTTTATGTAAATAAAGTGATGATTTTTTTACACCCTGCGTGAAATTAAATTTTTCTGATTACCGGGAAAAAAAAAATCAGACATTTTCATTTCATTTTTTTTTGTGTTGAAAAATTTAAACCTTTCAGACCGACTGACTGGTTCTTCGCTGCCAGATCCAATCAACCTGCCGGCCCATTTAGTATTGATACATGTATTCACTAACTTCGGACCGAAAAGATTTGCGGTTACAGTCACTAACCTATTCCTTCATCTCTCAAGGATGATGAAAACCGGTCCCCATAAAAAAGGGGGGATGGTGAAAGGTCAAGTCAAATTACAAAAATGCTGAAAAAATGCCGGGAAAAACACTTTAATAACCTAACCTAATATTATTGAGCGCCAGACTGAGCTCCATGCATTATGCATATTCTGAAAAATCAAGTCACTTTATTTACAATATTTGATCAACAACAATGCAACCTTATCACCCTCTGTATCCTGACCATCAAGGCGGCTTACAATGGTTTTTTTTTTATGAAATAAAATTAATGGATCACAGACAGTGATTTCTATTGGCTAAACTGAATTGTATTTAAGATAAGCCAGTAACTTAATTTACCTAAAATAAATAAGAAAAATGAACCTCACTATCAATAAGTTCGTTCCTACAAACGGACCACGGGAGAAGCAGTGTCTCCTATCTCAACCACTTGAACAACCGAAATCAATAGTCTGTAACATCAAACAACTATCGTCCATTTCCACAGGGAGCAAAGGGGTATTGAATTACATTATACATGATCCCTCTAACTTGCAGGGGAAAATCGCTTTTTAATTACCCAGCAATCGACCTTTCACATGTCAGCAATTGCACGGTTTAATCGCTGTCCTCTTCATCTGCACAACGGAGAACAGTATAAGGACACAATGGAATCTCTTAAAAAGGCAAAAACCATTTTTCAACTCCAAGTCAGCCAGTTGCAGCACATGCATATTGCATTACCCAGAATGCACCTTAAATCTCTCTGGTCACACTTAACGAAAAATAAAGAATTCCTACATCTCCCTCATTTGAATGACCCTCACCCTCAGTTTCCCCAAAAAAAAAAAAAAAAGACCCTCACCCTCGAGCCTCAATTCAAAACCAAGTTACAAAGCACGCAGCAACGGTTTACGTATGTCCGGAGCCTGAATTCAGCAAAGCGTCCTAGAAAATGAAGGCTTCGACACCCAGATAACTTCTGACAATCAAATACTTGTACCACTCTATACAAGTTCTGAATATGATTAGTGACAGCATCAAGATACCAAAACACAACTTAAAATACAGGACATGTCCTAAGGTAGTATGATGTTGAAATCATTCAATCACAGATGGCTCCTGCTATCTATGATTCCATGGTGCTTCGGCCCTACCAAAGAGTTTAGTTATCATTAACTGGAAGCTAATTACTAATACTGCGGAAAGCACAAAGGATCAGATGATGCCAGAATCTATAATAATTTCTCTTATAAGCAACAAAAGAGAACAAAAAATAGCCTTATTGCATATTAGATAGACATACCCTCATTAACTTCCTCACTTTGACTTCCATCATCATCGTCGCCACTGTTCTCTTCTTCCTCGTCTTCATCCTCTTCATCATCATTGCTTTCATCATCATTGTCATCCCCACTGTTCTCAACATCATCACCATTAGTTTTAGTTTCAACTGGTTCTTTGGCCTTTGGAGGAACAGCAAAACTAGCTGTTGATCGCCGGCGTGAGCTTGACACGATATTGCTCACATCAATACCCTCAAGTTCCTTTGCTCTTTCCTTCTTCCTTTTTACATCCTTAATTTCTGTGTGAATAAAAAATATATGGGTCCTTAATACCAAATTCAGAATAACAAATTCCTGCACTAAATTGTAGGCTGTAATGTCAGAAACCCTTTATGCAGCATCTAGATTTCTAAACAATTATTTTATTGATAAGTAATGAAAATTATAAATGGGATTGAGGCAATAAAGATGGCATACAAATTTAGGAGGACAAAATACTCATATACCCTATGAGCACCGGTAAAATTCTGGATTCCATGTGTGCTTCAAGGGTCTGGATTTCAGTAGTAAAATTCCTGCCAATCTCGGACCTTAGTTTACGTAATGTATTACTTATTTATATTTATATATATAAATTGACGTGAAATATTTAGAAAAGGTAAAAGAAGGATCCCACGCAAAAAGCAGCATTATGAGTATACTAATAGTTGTCCAAGAACTCTTTGCTGTGATTTTACATGAATAAATTTTATGTAAATGAGTGAAAAACTTCATTGTGAAATTTTGCCTGAAAATGGAGGCAGGGTTTCAACAATTCATTGCATGATCAAACGCTATGCAGGTTATGTGATAAATTAACTTTGAAAGTTCAATAAATTTTTGGAAGACTTAATTCACAAGTTGTACTAGTTAAACTTGCAAACTTAAAATCAACCATTCTATAGAGTATTGCAGCCAAGTTTCTGAGGGAAAAAAAATTAAGGAATGATTCAGAACTAACAAAACTAGGAATAAGCTAGACTTGCAACGGCTCCGTTTTGTTTAATAGAGTAAAGATAAAAACACATAACGGAAAACTGTAGCTCCAACTCCAAAAGCTTTGTTTTGAAGAATACAAATTCCAACATACAGCATAAATATCGCAGCTAAAATCCATGGGCATACACAAACGTAAGCTCAACAACCAAAGCCAACCTTTTTCAGATGGATTTGAAGACAATCCTTCTTTAGACAGTATTTCTTCCATCTCCTTTATTAGCTGGGCTTCCCGTTTATTTTCAGGCACCTGCTTGACTCTCCTATAGATAACGGGTGGAACACTGCAACAAAAGTATGCAAAGTAAAGCTACCACCCTCAACAAGGACCTGGAATCATAAAAAGTGAAGCAGGGAAAGCAAATGACCTCATTCCACATGCTTTAATAACAGATTTTAGATGCTCCACTTGTTTACCATATGCAGGAGTTGAAACTTCTTTCTTCTGCATTTGAGGGAAAGACAGCAAAAAGACATTAACATGCATGCACACAGAACAAACATGCACATAAAAAATATGCATGTTATTCAATCAACCAGCAGGCAGATAAGTAATAAAGAAAGTCAATGCTAACTTCATGCAAACCTGAACAGCACAGCTATCATGTGTATTATATTATAAAAGCAGTTATTTTCATTGAACATGGCTATTCCATTAAAAAGCGGTTATGGTCTAAACTGTCTCATTAGAACCATCATATAATAATCAGTACCACCTTTGTAATTTTCTCTGGCGATGATTGGGACTGATCATCTTCAGAGTCTTTTCCAGAATCTTCTGCATCTCTGCTGTCTTCTGAGGCTTTTCTAGATGACTTTATCCTTTTCTTAGCAGATAATTCAGTCTCCTCTGGGGATCCTTTCCGCTTCTTAGGTTCAAGGGAGTTCTGCAACTTCCCTTTCGGAATACTTCTTTTTCTAGGTTTAATTTCATCTTCCTGTTCCTCTTCCTCTTCAACATCTGAGTCATCAGAGCTCTCTTCACTACTGACCTTTTTAGTTGCTTTGGCATCAGGTTTTTTCTTAACAATTTTCTTGGCACTGTTTGCAGGTTTTGAAGCTTCACAAGATTTTAACACCTTAAAAAAAAAAAAAAAAGTTAAACATCTGATAAAGCACACTGTACCAGCCTAAATCACACTTTCTGGAGTCAAATCAATCACCTCCTCTAGGTGCTGACTTATAAGTTTCTTATAGGGATCAAGACAAAATTTCTCAAGTTTAAGATCTTCTTCCAATAGTCGACGAAGACCAGCCATTGTGACTTTCCTGAAATTAGAAAGCCAAAAACACCCACGTCCAAATTCAAAATTTAAAAATTCATGAAATTGACAGTAGGACGATAAGAACTGGGTAATATGTGATGAATAAGATCTATAATACTGTTGAGCGAAAACAGAATGACAAATATTGAAAGAATATGTTACATACTCTGAATTGGCTTTGACATAAGAAGATCTTTTTCTAATGGCTTTCTTAATCATCGTTTCACTTGGAATTGCATTTTTGTCATTGCCTTCAGCTTCCTTAGTTTCAAGTTTAACAGATTTTTCTTCATTTAGCAGACCCAACACTGGAGAATCTTCCATTTTATCTTCATTGTCAGTACAACGAGTCTTTACATCCTTTTTTGAAAGGATTTCTTCAGTTGATCCTTCTTTCTCTTGTGTACGAGTACCTTTTTCCCCTGTATCCCCAGATACCTTTGGGGACTTATCATCTCCAACCCCTTCTAAGCTCTACCAGTAATAAGGAGAGGTTAAAAATATCAATTTAAAAAACAATACACACACACGTTGATATATGGCTAGTAAACAAAAATAAGCATGCTTTATTGCATGATCAAAGTTTCAAAAATAAGATAAAATACATTATAAAGCAACAGCAATTAGCAGCCAAAAAGAAAAAAAAAATCCAAAATCACCGTCCTCTACAATAATTGATTATGTTCACCAAAGTCTTATTCAGCACACTGAGCTCCCGTTAAACAAAGAGTAAAATAGCATGTAATAGAATTCAAGTAGAAAACAAGTTTGGCTTTATCAATGGTTCACTTAAATGGCTATGACAATATTTCATGTTGAACATTCTATTTCAATTCGCACAAAAGCAGCCTTGTTACTCAATCACATCGTAAGTAATTGGATGAAAAGGCCCAAGCACAGCATATTCATTCTTTCACTAGGTGAGGATGAAAGGTTTTTAATCCACAAAAGTACCTTCAGCAAGCATTGCTTGACAAATCTCTTATGCACGTCTAATGCATATGGCTCCAACCCCAAATCTTTCTCAAGCAATCTACGAACCCCCTCAAATGTCAAAGAACTGCGTCAAAGACAAAATTGCAAGAATTCATATTTTAGATATCTCAATACACGGTCTGATACAGAATTCATCAGTAGTCACTTAGGCAGAGAAATTATGGTCATCGCAACAAATCATCGTTGTACTGTAGATATCCATCAATCAACGAATTTCGACAGTATCCAGTGTTTTCTTGGGTTCGCTATGTTGCTAGGTGCTAATATTCACGCCAACATAAAAGCTCTTACTATAGATAGCAGAGTAATATTATACTTTTCAGCCAATGGAAAGTGCAAGAGGATGAGGTGTTTAATGACAGCTGCATATGTATATGCGTTAAACAAATCAGACTCCCGTCGAAAGGACAAATTATTTGGAAGTTGGGAAAATGCAGACGATAAGATTATTACACAGTACAGAGAGCTTTCCCAAATGAAGATAAAACATGTAGTATGCGAATAATTGATACAAATTTGAAGCCAATTGAGCAGAGAAGCAGCGAGAGAAGGAAGAATTAAGTACTCGGCTTGTTCCTTGAAGTGAGCAACGCGAGAGCGCATAGCAGTCTGAATCTGAGACTCAATATGGCGCGCATCCACCTCAGTATCCTTCTTAGGAGTCTCGGTTTCCGGTGCCTCCTCCGCCATTATCTGCCGTCTCGGAGCGCAGGAGAAGCAGATGTTGCAGTGTAAAAGTGTAAGACCACGTTCCGGTCCCCAAGCTAAAACCCCGGACGAAAGGCGCAGAGGGCGTGACTTGTGTACGAAGGAGTGGAAAAAGAGACGAAGATGGTTCGATTCCTTCGGTGTAATCCCAGAACAGCAATTCTAGGGTACACGAGAGCCTTCCTACTGATCAAAACACTGTGAACGACTAACGACGTCGAAACCCACGACCCATAGCCCCGGCTTCTGATTGTTACTCCTCCCGTCTAAATGTAAAGAAGTGTGTGATAAAACCAAATCATAGATTGAAAATAGTTTTTGAAAAAAAATAATTTTTGAGAATAGATTTTGTAAGAATATGATTTTGATAAAGTAAAAATGTTTGAATAGTTGTTATCAGAAGTATTTTTTATATGTACAAATTATTAAAAAAATATATGTTAATATGATAATTATATAAAACATAAATTTTATAATATATTTTTATTCGAAGTAATAAATTTGTCAATAATATTTTTTACCAATATAATAAATAATTAATTAACGTGTATATGTATTTATAAAACATAAGATTAAATATGTTTCAGAAAAATGATTATTTTTTTGCCAACTGAAAAATATTTTTTTTTCATAAAGATTTTAAACATAAAATCCCATAACATTTTTTTATAGCTAGTTTTTTTAATAACATACTACTTCTGATTTTTAATATAAGAACTATTTTGATATTCAATTTGGTCCTAAATATAAAAACTAATATATTTTGTTTCTCATATTTATCTTATTTTTTTAAATAGTACTTGTAGTAGTTACGTATATTAAATATTTCATCAAATGAGACTTCTAGTTAGTACATATAATTAGAAAGAGTATTTTAGGAAAAAATAATATATATTTATTACAAATAACTAACTTAATTAATTGAAAAAATCACAATTAAAGAGTTGTCAAAAGTCATGGTGAAGTTGTCACGGTCCCTATCTGCGTTTTCCAAATTTCAGGGTTTTTTTTGTGATTTTCTCTAGTTAATTTTCTTAATCTACTCAAATTAGTTAACTAACTCTTATATTAAAGACTATAAGTAGTATTGCAATGTAAAAAAAAGGACCACATTTTCCAAAAGTTTTTTTTTTGTTGCTTTTCATGAAACCATAGTTTGGGTAGGTCAAGCCATGGTTTTGGAGCCAAATCATGGTTTCATGAAAATGTGGGATGTTTGGCAATCTAAATCCTAAAATCATGGTTTGCGCTCCAAAATTGATTTTGCTAAGGTTAACAAACACCTCCTAAATATAAGACTCATATAATATAAACTACTCCTTCTTTAATATAAGACATATTTAACTAATTTGATTAAATTAAAGAAGTTAGGTAAGTTAATTAGTTGTAAAAAAATATGACATATTTTTTCTAAAACGCCATAATTATCTTTCTTAATATCTTCCTTTCCTCTCTTACCTGATTAATTTAAAAAAATGATAAATATGAAAAATAGGTTTTATATTCAGGACCAAAACTAACTTAACAATTATATTTTATATTAAAGACCGAAAGAATATTTTACAAAATGGGTTTTATATTTAGGACCAAAACAGTATTTAAAAAAAAAGAAATACATTTAATATTAATATTTACTTCAACTTAACAAGTTATAAAAGTTTAAATTTTTTTTTGGCATGAAATAAAAGTTTAAATTTATACGACTCGTTTAATTTCCCACAAATAGTACAATTTAATTTCACTGAATATTTCTTATTTATTCAAGGTTGGCCTTCCCTCCACAAGGCTCACTAGATTAAGTACCCAGAATCAAATAATTAAAATTGTCTGCATAATATTTTTTTATTTTAAATACATAAAAACAAACTTACATGAAATTTGGAAGAGAACTCTTGTCCCTTCTTCTTCTTCTTCTTTTTTTTAAAGCTTTTGCCCCCAGCATATGAAATTCAAATCAACCCGCCTCATGCCCGCGCCAAATAGCGTCAGCATTATCAAAGTTAGCAATAGCATCTGCGCCAAATAATTGCCGGCTTATGTAGAAATTAGAAAAACTATAACCTTTTTTTTTTTTTGGTTATATACGAAAAACCGGATCGTTATGAGCGCGGAAACATTTCTCTAACATATACACGCAAACGCTGAGGTCTTGTCGGAGAACCCAATTAGGGCTTCCCATTTCTAATCGAACGCTTCGCCCAATTCACGTTCCAGATTCGTAGTCCCGGCAACTATGGTGAGCCCGAACGCCGTAGAGGTGGCCAAGACAGTACTGGAGGTCGCCGATGTGGCTTGGACTGCCGTGGAATGCAGTCATCATCTCCGCCACCACGGCAATTCTCACAGCTCATCAGATGAAAGCGATGCAAATTTGGAGTCACTTCGATCCGAAAATCGGCGACTTAGGAGTTTGCTAGAGAAGAATTTGGTGCTACTTTATAAGCTTTCTCAATCGCCTTCATTCTTGAACGATTGTCCTCCAGATGTATGCCCTATTATCTTACTTTGTTCTTGGGAGTAGTTAACCTTCATATTTTTTTTTTAACCAAAAAAATTGACTTTTATATCAGAGATGCTAGTTTTCTTACTAATTGCTTTACTGCAAGCTAAATAAAAAGTAAACAAAACGAGTGCCTTTGGGTATACACTCCCTCCCCCTATTCGTCTCTCGCATTCTGTTGATGTGTTCTTGTTGTTAACATAGCTGCAAGCTCGTTTAGTGGATACTGTGAGGTCTGATGATTACCTGACGCGGCTCAAGTGCCTCCAACAAAATTGTACTGAGGGAGGCAATGAATTCCCTTTCAAGGAGGCCACAGGTATTGACTATATTTTGGGTAGAAGGTGGGGATGAGGAGTTAAATGAACGAATTTATACGTCCTGTGTGCGAGTACTTGGAATTGACAACTGTATGCTGTTTGGTCGTTCATCGGCAGATATTGATTATCAATCTGCGGATATTCTGATCAACGTTGATTCCGAACAACCGAGCTGGTGGGTGTGGGTCAAGGATGAGGTGGAACCAAGCAATGTTGAGGAATGGAGTGGAATTGATAATGAAAATTACGTAGTCATTGGTGAGGAACATGTGGTAGATGGAGTTGCCAACTTTATGGCTAAGTGCATTCTGTCAAACCCAAAAGCTCGAGTATGTTCTCGCTTATACTGATATTGATTTTTTATTTTCCATATCCAACTTTGTTTCTTTCGTTTTGATTGCAGAATTTGTCACCAGAGGAACTACGGAAAAGTAAGTCTCTGGTCAGGCCTTTGTTGCATCTTATATGGGTTGTCTGTTGCATTCTCTTAAACCAAATGGGTCGGGGTGGAGGTTCTCTCCAGCCCATTTAAGTTTATGCTGCACAGGAAAGTAATTATTTATAGAATCTTTGATCTTGTGTCATCATCTGATCTTACTAGTTTAGTGGTAACCTTTGTTCAAAATGGTATAAGTAGATAAGTTTCCTTTTAAACTTGCTGGATGATGTAATTATTATTTACTCCAATAATCATTGTGATGATTTCTGCCTTTTCCTTGTGGAGGTTTAGCGTGCCTAATTCCAATAACTAGATGTTTTATTTTCTTTGAACACTTGACATCCTTTTCCTTTGCTCTGATATGATCTTGGATTAAGTATAGGATTGCGTCTTGCTGCTAGTGTAATGAATTGACAATATTTTTGCATCTTTTTTATTTTCGAAATCATTTGATGCACAGCTCTGTTGAAGGCAATATTTTGCAATGAATTGTCACCTTTTCCTTTGCTTTAATATGATCTTGTATTAAGTATGGAATTGCGTCTTGCTGCTAGTGTAATGAATTGACAATATTTTGGCATCTTTTCTTATTTGAAATCATTTGATGCGCAGCTCTGTTGAAGGCATTGGGTGGTGTAAGCAAACTGGAGAGGGTATTAGATATTTGGCATGCAGGGAAGTTGTTTTATGCGCTATCTACCTGGGGACTTGCTTTGGCTGGGTATGACTCTTTCTATTAGCTTGCTTAGACAATCTAATAAAATCGACCGAGTAACAAGTGATTATATTCATATATCATCTACCGTGATCACCTTGACAGACTTGTAGAGCTTCTGCAGGGATATCCTCATGCGTTTTGCATGTGATTGTGTGTGTAGGTCTCTCTATTAACCCGCAGGCATAATCATATATTAGTTTTTTTGCCTACCCTTCGCATTTGAGGTGGGGCGGGACTGGAGAGGAGTTTCAGAACTCATTTGACAGTAGGGAAAATTCTGTAGCCTAATTTTTAGTGTTGTATTCCGTTAAAATCATTACTAATCTTGTGCGATTACCCAGAAAACGCGTGGGCTTTGACAATTTTTCATTCCTCCATTTATTCATTTTGTTTTTTATTTTGATAACAGACTGTACAAAAGCCGTGGGGTTTTGAGACTTGCTGCAAAGGGTGTTCACACTGGCAGCAAACTAGCTCTCAGGGCTCTTTGAAGATGGAGGTAGTTCCATGGCCATGGCAAATGTAAAATGTATATATGGAACTCGGTGCCTTGCTAGAACATGAACTTCCTATAAGCACTAATTCATGTAAATAACTGTAAATAACATTGATCTTGTCAATTGGCTCCTGAAACTGCTCAATTGGTTCATTGTATTGAACATCTGGTTTCTGCATTATAATGCCGAGTATGGTTTTGTGGACATGAAAATTTTGCTGCCTGCCATGTCAGGTGAGACTTATTAGACGTATATGATAATGATAATAGTTGCCACGAATAAAACTTATGACATCTCTGATTCATCAAGAAAGGCGTGGAGTGATTCATACAGTGAGTCAAAGATATTTAATACGAATAATAATTATGACCTATCCGACTTATCTAATTCATCAAGCATTGGGGATTATGAGGAGCAAACGTGATGGAGAGGCTGGTTTGGAATTAAACCAATGAATGTTGTGGTTGCGAGAACATACGAAGTCTACTGGCTTCTTTTCTGAACGATATCCAATGACTGTTTGTGTTTATTACTTATTAGGATATTATTTCGTACCAATCTCGTTTTGGAAAACTATTTTTCAAATGTTTTTTTCTTGGCCGGAGTGAGCGAAATTTTCTCTGTTGTCTTGGCGTTATTGCATGGGGGCCGCTGAAAGTTGAACAGCAATATGGCAAGGGCAAGGCTGGCAAACTACGGGAACAGAGAGGTTATTACGATCTACGAGCGCTCCAGTTGGACTGGGCATTCATCCATCAAAGCAATAATTGCTATTGCCAAATTAATTGGAAAAAGGTCGTCAAAACAGCCGTAGTTTATTTTGTTGAACCAAAAACAGACCGGAGTTACCGACCGCAGGTAAAATGTGGAGGGTACCGTGGAGGTAGTTAAGAAAAACTAAATAAAATGTACTCTTCCAAAAAATATATATATTTTAGTCTTAAATCTCAAATTTTAATTCAAATCATTTTTCAAATTTATGTTCCCTCCAAAACTCTACCTATTAATTATAGGAACAGTTTTTCATTAAAGCGCAGTTCTTGATGCTAGTAATAAAAAGATATTTTCAAATAATACATATTTCTACAAATAATTGATTTAACTAATTATTTCAAACTCCATAAATTAGTTATCAAATTTTTACATTTAGGATTAAGAAGAGCACGCAGGAAGATCACGATATCACGAGCAAATATTGACGAAGTTACATATCTGAAGCTGACCGTGCTACAGAAAGTCAGAAACCAACTTCCAATTCGCCTTAAACAAAGCATCCACCCCGCGCAATTTGGTCACTAAATTCGGTGAGTTACAATAATAACCACTAAAGGACCCGTTTCGTACAAATATAGCCAAAGCAAAAAGAGGAAGGAAATGCAACTAAAGATAGATATTTGAAACTAAGACAAAGGAGACACACCATCTTGGCTCAAAACTGAGACTATAAATTACAATCCCATGGAGATCATCAACTTGACAAGCAAGAACACAAGCGAAGATGTCAAAGCAGGCAAAGGATTCACTAAAGAGCAAGCATGGGAAGCACCAGAAGTAAGGCCACTAATCGGGCCATTTGCAGGGTGGACCCCTGGAAATGACCCCGTCGCCGGTACCACTGATGATTTGGGTGATAAAGGACCAGCTCCATTTGACACAGGTGATGGTGCTGGCGCAAATATTGAAGCTCTCGGAACTGTAGTAGGCGGTGCCGTGAGTGGAGGAAATTGCTGCGGCCCTACATCATGAAATCACAGCAGGCACATCAGAACTGAGTAACATAATTGATCAGCAAACGAACGTCTAAAAATGGAGGAAAATACTCATCGACACTGAATGGAATACAATGATTACAGTGATTCAGAATCTCTCTCTATTTCGGTGCGTGAAAACGAAAAACTGAACATCATGCTTACCAGGACATCGAGGTTGAAGAGATGTAGACAACCTGCAGGGTGAGAAAGATAGAATAAGCTTACAATTCAAGTCCAAGTCCAGCCAGAAAGTTCATATTGCAAATCACTGGGACAAAAGCCAGCAGGCACAGGATAGACATACGCTGTTATTATAGTGCCATTAGCAAAACCGTTATAATTGCAAGAATTAACACTGCAGCCGCCACCACCCTGTTGGGCTGTAACATTTCCGAGCATGAGATTGCTTCTTTTACATTGCATGCTTGAACAAGAAACAGCCAGAGAAGCAGGCATACAGTATAAACTGCGGAGAAACCCCAGTTAGCAGTCTATTTAACGGAAGCCGGGTGTATAATAAAAAAAGACTGGAAACCACAAACAGAGTTGCTCAGTACTTTAAATTTCGTGGCCCACAGCTACATAGTACACAGTGACCAGCTGTGACGGCGTAGCTTCCGTTAGGTACAAGCAGGCCATGATCAGAGGCAAATTTTGGGAAATTTGACGCGCAAGCTGTAACATGACAAACAGAAACAGAAATTGAACAGCGCACCGATTAGTTTGGGGTTTAAGCACTAAAGATTGAAGTAAAATTAGCATGACATATGTTATTTCCCAATTTGTTAGCATTACAGTGAGCTTCTAATAAGAGCTTAACCAGGAAAACTCATCAGGTGCATTCAGAATTATTACGAGTTCAAAAGGAAGAACATAGGTACTTAAAGGGTAAAGGCTAAACTCTGCGAGCAGAAATAGAACCAGAAATTACCGGGTATGGGTATAGCGAGAATATCGCCATCGTTGATAGCTGAACTTCCCATGGCATTGACGTTCATCAAGTCAGTCAGAGTGGTGAAATACCTCGCGGCGATCGCGGCCAAAGTATCGATTGGCTGGACCACATACGACAGGTAGATTGCAGGCAAAGTGTTATCGGTACCATTGAAGCAAGTGCATGGTAGCGGCACCACAAGATTCTGACCCGCATCCAGTACAGAAGGGTCACTTATCGAATTGGCTTCCCTAAGCTGGTCAGCAGACACCAGACCCCCATATATTGAATCCGCGATCGAAGATAGAGTATCAGAGGGACGAGTTTTGTAGTGGGTCGATACTGATTTGCGAATTCCATCAACACACGAACAAGTCATAGGGATTTTGAGGAAGAGCCGAGAGGGAAGAATGTGATGCTCCACGTCGGGATAAGAAATGTCAATGGCATTAGCAGTGAGAAGAGCAATTGGGTCGATTTGAAAGAGGGAGGCCACCTCAGAGACCTTTAGGTCAGTGTAGAGGGTATATCCGAGCAGAGCATTGCAGGAGTCAGAGTTGGAGCAGGGCTCGATTGTAGATTTACAACTGACATCACCGACATTGATCAAATTCAAAACCTGCAAAAGTAACAAAATGACAGTGCTTCGCAAGGCGGATGCTTTATTTGGCATTGTGGTAACGTCTTTATCTAGCCGCACCCCTTCAGGGAGAGAGAAACTAGATGAAGATGCTATGCTATCAACAGTGATAAACACCCAGAAAACCCGAAAATGAATATCTTTTCTGCGCAGGATTTGCCTTTGAAGTTGAAAGAGAAGGCCAAACGAACCTCCTTTTCCCGCTCGCAAAAGAAACGTTTTGGCCTTCGAGCTGGTAAAACCGGCAAGTCCAGAAAGATTAACCGAAGGAGGGAAATATGATGTACTGCTGAAGAGTATTTCCAGAAAGATGAAAGATTCGAGGGGCAAAGCTTATCGGAGGTGGATTTAGAAGGGTCGGAATTTTCCCCTACGAGGAAGGGGAATTCGGGGGCTTAAAGGATTGATTGCGTTTTCTTTTCAAGCCAGCGTCGAAAGCAAGAAGGAGAGAGCTAGGACTTTGGAGGATGAGTGAAAATTTGAGTGAGAAAAAAGGCTAGGATTGTTGAACAGAAAGATTAAAAGCGGTGTACCTTGTCGCTACACTGGCCTCTCCGTCACATTCTTCGTGATGGAGAGTTTCCAACATTGGCGTCCAGCTGGACTAGTTTGCCCCCGTGTGCTTTCAAGCTAATTAGAGTTCCTCGGCCCGAAAATGTAGTATAAACAAACAACATTAAAATATGTATTTCTTTTCTTTTCAGAACAAAAGTTATACTCCTCCGGTCCTAATTATAAGACCCAATTGACTTATTTGAGGAGATTAAGGAAGTAAGTTAAGTTGGTTATTTATCATAAATAAGTGTTGTCATTCCTAAAATATCCTTGCTAATTAAGTATATTGGCTAAAACTATCATTATTAGAAGGATTATCTTGGAAAAAAATGCATAAATATAAGAGACAAAATGGATTGGGTCTTATAATTAGGACCAAATAAAAAGTCAAATTGAGTCTTATAATAAGGACCGGAGGAGTATTTTTTATTGCGACAGAGGAGCAGCAAAAGAAATTTTTGAAGACTGGAGATGAATATTACGAACATTACATATTTTCTAATAGTTTTTGTGGTGGATGGCTGATGACATATGTTCCGGGGCCTGCTGGAAGCGAGGATGTCATGGTAATTTCGGAGGTTGCTTTTGAAATGGCGGGACAGTCAGGTATGGCCCACATGCAGACTAGGTGTTGGTTCGGATCCGCGGCTTTTCGGTTTTCCCAGATTTTAAGGCCATCAAAACAATCAAGCATTTTAAATTTTTTTCGGGGTGAAATCAAAGCATCTAATTACCTGCAATCGGCTCCACCACCGGCATCCGAGGGCTCCTCAACCGGAACCCGCTCAAACCGATGGCTCTAAGCTTGGAATTCGCCTTTTTTTAAAAAAAATAAAAATCTTCCAGTATTTTGATTTTTTTTTTTTAATGGTCTACCTAGTATGATGATCTTATTTGTTTTTTTAATATATATCCAGCATCTCAACATTATTTTTTTAGTTACATCTAAGATTTAATATGTTAGATATATCAAAAATAAGATTAAAATATTGAATATATTAAAAATTAAAAATAAAGTGATAGATACACCATTAAAAAAAAAGGCGATTGGGTGCTAAGATATACCTTTGCTTATACAACCAAGGGTATAAAAGATTATATGCATTGCTTTTTTAATTCTTAATATAAAATCTAGTGACATTTTGCTTGAAATTATGTACTGAAGCCGAATTTACAAGCAAGCAAATCAGCAATAACAAGTTGTCATCAATTTAATAAAAAAATGTTAAGATTTCGAATTCTAACTTTTTCTTGAGAAGGAAAAACGAAACAGGCTTATTTTAAATTTATGATTCTGTGTATTAGTAAATTTTAGTTTGTATGCTGTGTTTGCTGAAATTGGTCAGTATTGGTTCGCAATCGCATCTTGACGTGTCCAAAGGCTAGTTCCCTAATTATTTTGTGCCTGATTAGGTTAACGTTTGCTGGCCCAAATGTGGCTTAATTTCAAGATAAGCCATATTACAGTGTTTGATGATGTTTGGTAGGGCTTCAAATACATTAAGCTTATTGGATTTTAAGCTAGCTCAACGCACAATTAGAATGAGTTGGAGGAGGGAGCTTATGACTCAGTTGGAAGAACTTATTTCTGCAAGTGTGTCAGATAACCTTTTCCCACCATATTGTTCTCTCCCTTATGGCACTATTCCTCCTCATTATTTCTCACTCCTCCTTATTATTTCCAATCAGGAAGGGTCCACGTATAATATTCTCTCGCCTCTGGACTTCATTTGCTCTTCCTTTTTTAATATCTTCCATAATTTACAACCACTGGCAGTAATTTTTTTATATTTTTCTTATGTTTTCAATTTTAATTTACTTATTAAATTTTATTTGTTATATTAAATTAAATTAAATTAATTGTATTATTTCAATTTATTTTTTTATCATGTTTCATTTTATATTTAAAATATTTTTTATGATTTTTCTAAAAATTTAAAATTTAATTCACTTATTAAATTTGACTTCTTCATATTAATTTATTTTAATTTCATTGTATCATGTGAAATCATTTTTTTATCTGTTTTTATTTATTAAAATTCATACCCATTTTGGTCATTTTACAACCAAACTTACTTTTATTCAACTATAATCCAAACAACCTATTACCAATCTCATTTTTGCAAACTAGCTTTTCTAAACTCCAATCCAAACATAATTCAACTTATCCAATTTAGCTTCTACTCAACTTCACTTCTCCGCAAGCTACTTTTAAGTTACTTTTCTAATCGCCGATCCAAACAGACTCTTTATTCCGTATTTATCTTAGCCTCGAGTCATAAACTTTTTTGACGGATCCGCATTATGATGAGCACGGAGTGCTCAGCACTCAAAACGTCCAGGGACTTTTATTTTTTATTTTTTTCATCACAAAAAAAATGTATGAGAATTATTTTTGGTTAAAGTTTATCTAATACTCCAAAGTATTTTTTTAGATATATTCAATATTTTAAAATATTTTATCATATCCTGAAATATTTTCTCATATGTATTTAGTGTTCTAAAATATTTTTTGACAGTGCATTTGAAAAAATATTTAAGAATTTAGTATTTTAAAGTATTTTGTAATCTATTTGGTACCTAAAATATTTTTTCACGTGTTCATTATTCTAAGATGCTTTGTGACTGGACTTACCTAAAAACATATTTTAAGGTCTGGTATTCTAAAGTATTTTATTATCTATCTAATATCCTGAAATATTTTTCAGTATTTTAAAATACTTTGTGATACAATATCAAGAAATAAATTTTTTTAAAAACATTAAATGCACGTAAAAAATATTTTAAGATACTAAATGAATCATAAAATACTTTAAGATATTAAAAACATTTAAAAAATATTTTTGAGTGCCAGATAAATGTTAACAAAAAATAATTTTAATACATACTTCCTCTGATCCTTAATATAAGAGTTAGTTTAACTAATTCAAATATATTAACAAAATTAGCTAAATTAGTCATTTGTAATAGATAAGTGTTGTTTTCTCCAAAATACTTTTCACTAGTTACGTGTATTAACTAGAGCTACTAATTGATTAAATCTTTAATACGTGCAATTATCATAAGGACTGTAGTAAAAAATAAATATATATGAGAAGTAAAGTGAATTAAAATCTATTTAAAACTAAATTAAATATCAAGCTAATTTTTATATTAATAATTTGAGATAGTATAAATTTGTTTGTAACAAAAAAAATAAAGTAAAAAAAAATAAAACGCTCAGCACTCAAAAAGCATATCGTTTTGAGTGCTGAGCACTTCGTGCTCATCAGGCTGATGAGCACAAAATGTGAACACTTTGATGGCTGATAATCTTTTGCTATTATTACTCATCATTAATTTAATAATCTAATTACTTGTGATTAATTTAATTGTAGTTGTTGATATCAGCGGGGCCAGAGAACATGTTGCGTTTGTTGTTCTATAAACACTTGGCGAGGCTCCCACTGGCCAACGGTTAGCATTGTCCGCGTGCTTACATCACAATTACTCCCGCAATCTTTAACATAGAACCTAATTATTGAGTTAATTTTGATCCTAAATATATAGCATATTTATCATATTTATTAAATTTTTCTAAATTACCCTCATGAATATTCCCTCAACCATAATCAAGCGGAAAAGGAAGAGAAGACATTAAGAAAGATGATTATGGTGTTTTAGGAAAACCACATCATATTTCTTATAATTAGCTAACTTATTTAACTATCTTAATCTAATCAAATTAGTTAAATAGGTCTTATATTAATGATCGGATGAGTAACATGTTTTGATTTTTCCCTTGCCAACACACACCCGCATATTGAATTTCTTTTTTATTTATCTTATCAAACACATAAATCATCCTATATCTTTTATTTTTGTCCGCAAACAATTATCCGTTATCTGATCTTCTTATTATCAGTTCATAATTTTTTTTTTTGGCCGAAAATCAATTCATAATTTGATAATTTTTTAGCAAGGGTGGCGAATCATTCTTCAACTTTTTAGTCAAGAGTAGCTGGTAAATTTTTTTTTACCATGGGTTGGTTTGAAATAACTTAAAAATAGCTTTCTAATCATAATTTATAAAACATAAGTGTTTGAGAAAAATTTTTGAGCACTATCTAAAGAGGCTCTGTATCTTCCAAATTTGAAATTTGATAATTTGATAATCTTATATATAACTGGACCCATATGATAACGGCCTTGAATTGAAAGGCCTGACCGCTCCGAGGCGAGGCCCTAAACCCGGATGGCGGGAACAAAGTCGTCTTTCCCTCCAATTTGCTTTCTCTGAAAGTTCATTCTAATTCCCCTCTACTGCACCCCGCTTTTTACCGTTACCCCCAATGTCAAAGCCCTAATTATTCATTCTACCGAATCCCGTCCGATTTCACGGGTATTCTATTAAGATGGACGGCTCTACAGTGGAGCTCAGTCCAAACAATCTGGCCACACCCAAGCGCCGGAATGATCGCCGGAAGTTGGTTCAGTCGACATTGTTCCCTCAGAAAACTCAAGAGTCCGATGACAGAGCTGATGATCAACAAGAGGAAGAAGAGGCACACTGTTGTGCGAATGAGAACAAGAAGGGAAAGTCCAAACTGAAAGTTACTCCTCGAACCAAGAATTCCAAGGTCAGATTTCAGCAATTCAATTTTCTCGAGTTTTCATTTGTGAATAGTTGAAAATAAATTGCGTCTGTGATTCCTCCATTACGCCTCTATCCTGGCGGACTCGAGAATCGATATTTCACTGATGAACTCAACTCTCAGTTTGATTGCCACTCTTATTGTAGTAAAACTCAAGTAACCTTTTCCTTCCCCTCACAGCAAAAGGAGAAGCAACTGCAGAATACTGCGCTAGAGAATATGGGCACACCCAAGCGCCGGAATGTTCGCCTGAAGTTGGTTCAGTCGACATTATCCCACAGAAGACCCAAGAGTCCGATGACAGAGCCGATGAGAAGGAGGAGAACAATTGCCTTGATGATCGACAAGAGAAAGAAGAGGCACATTTTTGTGTGAATGAGCATGAGAAGGGAAATTCCAACCGAAAAGTTACTTCTCGATCCAAGAATTCCAAGGTCAAATTTCAGCAATTCAATTTTCTTGAGCTGTCTTGTGCGAACAGCCTACAGTAATTAAGCCTGGGGTTCTTGTATTACACCTGCATTTTAGCAGACTGGAGTTTCTGATGTTAAATTCAACTTTGAGTTTATTGTTATTGATATCGTAATAAAACTCGAGTACTTTTTCTTCCATAAAAGGGACCAAATAATATTTGCATTTAGACTAATTAGATAATCGGAAGGTTCGAATCCTAATAATATGACATTTCTACTGTTTTCTTTTTCCCTTACAGCAAAAGGAGAAGCAGCTGCAGAATACTACGCCAAAGAAACGGTCACCCAATGGGGTTAAGGGGGCAAGCTCACGGCAAATGGTGAACGACGTGGCACAGATTAATATGGCAGTCCCTGATTTGCGTTTGGAGGCAAAACTGTCAGCTGAGGTTCGTACGACTGGCTCATACTGTTCTATTTGTTTTTAATGGGTTGCCTGCATTATTGGAATCTGATCGATGCTGTGTTCTTTATTTGGCAAGCAATCCTTCTGCATTGATATTTTCATTCACCGCTGACAAATTATTTTCTCTGATTATAACTATGGCATCAGTTTTGCTGTTACTTCCATGGGACTTGTTAAAGATTGGTGATAGACACTCTTTCTATGATTTAATCAGGAAAATTCGAGGATGTTTGCTGGACGGCAAATACATCCCTTTTTTTCTTCATGGAAGGTTGGGAAGAAACCTCATGAGGCAGCTGAATCGGAACTCAGTTTATGTGGAGCGAGGAGGAAAGATGAGGAAGTACTTGCCCGTGCTGCTATTCATGTGTTTGAAAATAATCAGGTACGTTACTTGTCCTACGCATTTGTTGTTAGCATCCTATTATGACAAAAGTGGGCGATTTGTATCTCCTTCGTTGAAAATTCTGTTATTTCTGTCTGAGAATTTAGCAAAACTCTTTGATGCAGGATATCAATGATACATCATTGCCAGACTGGAAAAACTGGACTTTTTTGGGGCAGACTGCCAAAGCAAATTGCTGTCCAGAAAGTTCATTTTCCTCTGTTTTTGAGGGTTCTATTGAGCCCTTAAATATTGATAAGCTTCACAGTACTTTTTATCCCCCTGGCTGTATAGATTCTCAAAATGTCCCATCTGGTTCAGATCAACAATCTATAGAATCTACGCAGCCTCAAGTAGAAAAGTCAGCTGGACCGGCTGGAGGGCAAACAAGCCTTCAATCACTAGAAGCTGAATTGGTACGTGTTCGTTGTAATATTAGAAAGTGCCTTCCGTCCATGCTCTTCAGTAATTCCTGTGGACAAATTAAAAAAAAAAAAAAGATATATGAGATTTAGATGCCTATAGGTAATCAGTGGAAGCTTTTTAAAGGTGGAGATATTTTCTTTCCTTCTGTTTTAATTTGTTACTGTTGGCAATTACATTATCAGCAGGACATGAAAGCCGATACTGAGCAAGCTGGCATTTTTAGAAAGTCAGATCCTGAACCACAGAGTAGATTTCTTCAAGAGAGGTTCATATTCTGTATTTACGTAAATCTGCATGATGTAAAACCACACTTGACTTCATATTGCAAATGGTATTTAGGGCTACCAAGTGTTGTCAATACGTATATTCAGCTTATGACCTCTCTGATCTGCCAGGCATATGCTAACTGCTTAGTTAAGAAAGATTCCTTTTTTGTGAAGCGCAAGGTTTTTAAATATTAGAACATGTTGCGATTGTTTCCTTCTGTTCATTTATCTTTTTAACAACATTTTGGTCGTCAATAAGGGTGAGCAGATAGTCTTTTACCCTATGAAGAGAGGTTGAGAGACAAAAAAGAACACTTGAGACAGTCATTAATTGAGATTTCTTGGTTAATGGTTTAAGAGTTGGATTCAGATAAAGCAAAATTTTATTGTGCATTCCGTGTAGCCTACCCCATTTAGTAAATAAGGCTGTTCTTGTTCTAACACTTAGGTCATCAAAAAATTGCTTGGATCTCACCTATGATATTCCTAGGCTAGGTAGAATTCAAGTTGATTGGTTTATTTGTGCATTTTTGGCTCAAGCTAGAAAGTTGTGACTTCTGAGATCATGTTATGATGTCCACTAAAATTTTTCCCTTTTTGGTGTCTAGATCTTGATGAGCATGAATTCTTGGTTGTAATTTTATATTTCTGCTGGTTACTTTCCTCCTTTTCTTTTGCTTATCTTCTAATTCTAAAGGGTTCATTCTGTACTTTAAGTTGCTGCTGTACTTGGGTTTCTAGGCTGTCCAGCAATAGAAAATTTCAATTGTCAACAAGAGAAAATAGTTATAGTTCTGATTGCATATTTTTTAGTAATGGCCCAGCAATTGAAGGACTCATTTATTATGTCCTACATATATTAGATTTTGGTTCGGGAATGCTTTTCACTGACAGGCAGTTTTTTTCCCCCCATGTCCTGTGCATTGCAGCATGAGGTTGTATTACCATAGTTGTGGAGATAAGGCCGAGGGAACCTTATGGACATACAAGTACAAGCCAACAAAGGCCTTTGAGGTTTGACGTTTTTGGTTAGCTTTGTTTTTATTTTTGAAGTTATATCTGATAATTTTCCACGGCTTTAAATTCTGACTTTAATAGGTATGTGGTAATGATGAGTCTGTGAAATTTTTGCGTGACTGGTTACAACTCTGGCATGGAAGACGTTATCAGAGAAGGAAAGATGCCTTGTATAGGGATAAAGTTGATATGCAAGGCGATGACGATGATCATGATTATGTCTGTTCTCATTATGACTATGATTCAGAAGACATGACCGAGGAGGACTCCCTGGAGAATGTCCTCTTAATTACTGGACCAATAGGGGTGTGTGAAAATCTTCTTTGTTATAGCTATGGCACACATTTTGTCTGCATAAATTGTTTTTTCTTCATCATTTATAATTGAAGACTACCATTATTTAAACGTTGGCTGCTGTTATTTGTTAAAATATGGATGAAGCACTCCCAGTAACTTGACTAGGGTTTAAGGAACTTCTTGTAAACTTCCTAGTAGATGCAACTCGTCGAAGTGGTATGGTAAATGAAATGAGTTTGATAGTCTGGCTAACACTGCAATCCTTTTAAGCCCTTGAAAAATTGCTTGCACAAAGATGAATTTTGACTGCTTCGTAGTCCAATTATAAATTATAGGAAAGGTGTAGGGTTGAATTCTAATTGGTTAAACCCCAATTGCTCTTGTATATAAAATTTCTTTGTGGCATAATGAATTCTGGTATTTGGGTTAATGTTACTTAGTTGTTCAGTTTGAGGATAGGATAATATGTTTTCCTGTTACTTTCATTAAAAATATGTATGTGAAGTTTGAACTTTCCCATTCACCCGCCACTGTTTCTAATACAGCTGTAGAGCATCATCATTATCTATCTGTTGCTAGATCAAATATTTTGTTCTATGTAGCATCCATATTGGTGGCTAAGGCATAAAAATATCATGTTGTAGTGTGGGAAGTCTGCGGCTGTATATGCTTGTGCACAAGAGGAGGGGTTTGAGGTTCTAGAGGTATTTTTTTTCCCTTTGGCCATTTAGATGTATCTGTTTCGAAGATGTTGTGGCTAGTTATATTTTTTGATTGGCCTACATATGTATTTACATGAATTCATTGATCTCATGCATGTGGTTGCTTTCAATCCTTGAAAAGCATTAGCGAATGTGAGGCCAAGTGATTACTTATCGAAGTGGTTGTTCTGATGTTCTATTATGCTTGCCTGTTTTTCTTCTCGCTTTGGAATCAAGCTTAGCCCTACATTTTTTGTTTGGTGCATGTAGATATAGATTTATTAAATTTATGTGCATTGCACTTTGGTGCGTCCCGTGCAACTCAGTGCTCAATTAGCATTAAAAATTACGGTGTAATCTTTGATGCAATATTTTTAATAAAATGTGTCATATATCCCACCCACTCTCTTGTCAACTCACTGTTATCATTTGCGTTTAATCATATAACAAAGCAGTCAGACAATGAACTTTACTATCCAATTCAAATTATTCTCAAATCAAAGTCAAATCACTCCATCACTCAAATAATTAAACACAAGACCATATCACACAATCCAAAGGGTACAATGCACAAGCCAAGCTACATATTTGGCTTGCTACATAATTTATATATTAGTAGATATTTATATTAACCCAAAATTTCCTTTAGCTTTTATTCTTATTATTATTAAGAAAATTACACTGTACCTTATTGCACCTCTTGTGTAAACAGCTCAATGCATCAGACTGTCGGAATGGGACTGCTGTCAAGCAACACTTTGGAGATGCTCTTGGATCACGTGGGTTCAAAAGGTGAGAATTTCTTGTCAATGCATGTAGAAATATGATGCAAAAGTGTTGGACCTTAGCAATTGTATCATCAGTTGACTTATTTTAGCATTCCTTTTATATGAGGAGATGCCTTTCATCCCATTGACTAAACGAAAATATATGTTGGATGGCATGAGCCATTGTGTTCTTACTTCTTAGAACACATGCAAATCAAATAAGTTTTCCTGTGTTGTCTCGATGTCAATTGTTAGAGATTTAAGCTTTAGTTGTGATGTCATGGAACAGGAGAGGAAATTGTGATGTCTATAGTGTCAATCTTCACCTACGAAGAGGAAATTAAATTTTAGAAGTCCACGTAGTTGTCAAATCAAGCATGGGCTAAGCATTAAATGGCACTTGTTACTTGGTTCCCCTAGATGTCTTAGGTGATAAGCTTACGATGTGGGGCTGGGCTGTTTCTTTGTTCATTCTTCACCACCATTTGGAAAAAAACAGAAAAACTAGGTTTAAGGAGAAAGAGAACATGAAGCTTTTGTTAAACTGCTTAATTACATTGTCCTCCTTTATTCAATTAATTCTAATAAAATTAAGCTGCTTCTGGTGAGAAACCTTTTCGTTAAGTTGTCCTATAATAATGGATCTTACATGTTGTATATCAAGGTTATTGGAACACACCAATAGTTCACCAATGAAGAAAAAGAGGAAGTTACCCTCAGGCCTGGCTTTGCCTTGTAACAAAGCATCTGATGCGTTAAATGAAGGGGTAGCTGGACCAATAGCCATATCTGATGATGAAGCTGTCTGCCCTGATGCAAGATCTTGGACATTACCCGGCCACAGAAACTTAATTGGGTATGATAAAGTCCAAACATTAATTCTAATTGAGGATGTGGACATCCTTTTTCCTGAAGATCGTGGATGTATTGCTGCCATACAACAAATTGCAGAGACAGCCAAGGGGCCAATTGTACTAACCTGCAATAGTAAGATGACATTTTAATTCGATGACTCTTTGTTCAATGTATAGTTTTTATCAAAGTGTTCATTTTTTATATGATTCTTTTGAATCAGGCAATAATCCTGCGCTGCCAGATAATTTTAGTAGATTGTGTGTTTCTTTCTCATTGCCATCCGCAAAGGAGTTGCTGTGCCACTTGTACATGGTATGTGCTTAAGGACTCCCCTACCTCTTAAAGAAGGGAAAAGGGTAGGAAATCTGAAATTTTATAATGTTGCAATGAATCTAAATGCAGGTTTGTGTCACAGAAGCAGTCAACATTCATCCTCTCATATTGGAGAAATTTATACAATCTTGTGGCGGTGATATCCGCAAAACCATCATGCATCTTCAGTTCTGGTTCCAGAGTAAAAGATTAAGAAAAGGTGCATCACGGAAAGCTTGTTACTAAATCATGCATGGTTATGATGATTATCTTCTATGAAAACCATAATGATTCTCCTTCATCATTGTGTACTGTGTTCTCTTACAATTAAGACCTTCAATTCCCATCTTCAGTGATAGCATATTAAGCGACGGTTGTTATATGCATTTATTGACTGAGGAAATATTTAAAAAGTGGGTATAACCACATTTGAAGTTAGGATGGGTTAGGTCATACAAATTTTTAGTTGTGAATGGTAGTATTACTGAAAAACAGGTAAACTTAGTATTTTTTCAAGAGGGGATTCTTTTTGCACGTGTATAGGATTTGTCTTGAGATTGCTGCTCAGTTGTAATTAATACTCCTTTATTTCTTTTTTGTCCTGTGCACTCTTTATGTTTTGAGGGCGGTTTTGGTTTCTACATGGTCATGACATACAATAAAGTTATGATTTAATCTCTTTATGTCCAGACAGAAAAGCACAGAAATTGTATAGCTCGCTTCCATTTGACCTTGAGGTTGGCCATCAGATACTGCCCAAGATGATGCCCTGGGATTTTCCCTCTCAGTTATCTGAACTAATTGAGAACGAAGTTACCAAGGTAATAACCACAATGGAGGAAAACTCTAGTTTGCAGAGGTCAGTTGAGAAGCAGTTTGACGTAAATGAAAAGCAAAGTGATTCAGAGGCGCAGCAGATGGGAGCTGATTGCATAGAGGCCAAAAAAGTAGAAATGCTTGAGAGGAATGGATCTGTTACAGAATACAGCGAATTGGAGGCTCAATTTCATGCTCTTTCTGAGATTTCAAATTCTTCATGCACCCCAGTTGCACCTTCTAATCGAAAGATTCAAAGGAAGCTTGTAGTGATGTCCTCTGGTTCTGAGGATGAGGGTTTATATAACGGGCATCCTCTAGACATGTGTGATGATGCTAACAATGGACCATCTCTTGAAGACAACGGTGATTCTCCATCTAAATTTCCAATTAATAATAAATATAGCAGCACGCCATTTCTTAATCGGCGTACCGGATTGGAGGAGTCTGAGGTGGACCTGAGTAAACGTTTAGGAACAGCTGATGGTATGTGTTTAAATGAAACATCCAAGTCATTTGATGTATCCTGCGTTCCAGAATCAACTTTCGTTCCTGAGACCATTAATGAAGTGGAGACTATCTCTGGAGCAGTGTCTTGTGGCAATCTTGCTGATCCTGTGGAAGTCTCTGTGAATAACGAGTCACTACCATTCACTTTCCGTGTCTGTAATTGCTTAACCAAGCGAGCACAAGATGATGATTTGTTGGGAAGTACCAAAATACCAGAATATTCTCAAAAAGAGATCTCGCAAGATTTAGTTGATGAAAATATGGAAACTACACCTGTGTATAATGTGATGGATGAATGCAGTCGGGTGGATTTCAAAATGAAGTCCCATTTTATCGAACCCCTTCCATCAACGGGGACTGATGTTATACATAAGCTGTGGAGAGAACTTCGTGAATGTCGAACAGATTTAAGACAGCATGTTGCCACTGAACAGCCAGGTGCTTTTCAAGTTGTTAAACTAGCTTGTGGTATGAGCAATCTAATATCAGAGGCTGACTTGCTGTTTAGCAACTACCAACAAAAAGATTGTGTAAGTTCCTTGTAATGGCTGCAATAAAATTTCCAATTTTTCTTCTTTGTCCATGTCAGTATTATGATAGTGATGAATCTGCAGGATATTTTGGAAGCCCCATCTCCACTTTTTAATGAAGGCACATTTAATTGGTATGATGAGCAAATGATGGTATCCACTGTTGCTGAACATGGGTTTTGTTTTTACGCTAAGCACTTGTCAGATATGGGATTGAAGTCAGGCCGCGATAACTGTGTAGATTTGACTTTGGAGATGTTGGCTTCCACTACTAACATAATGGCCTTGGGCCATTTATCTAGACAGGGCCTCACAAACCGTACTAACCCCTGTACTGAAAAGGACTTAGAGAACAGGTCAAGAAATGATTTGCCAGGCAGGTATGTATTTTTGCTGCAATATTATATTTAATACAAATTTTCTTGTCATTTGCCGATTTGATTATACAGATTTCCATGCAAGGTAGTCATCCTTCATCTTTAGTGATTTGTACAAGTTTCTGTTGACTTGGATATTATTATTCTACAGAAGATTTTTAAAAAAAAAAAAAACAGGAAGAAAACCTCGCAGTTGTCATCCACTTCTAAGGTCAAAGCAAAGCCGATTGAAAATTATTGAATAATTAAGTAATCCCAAGCGGAGTCACCCTTCTATTTTCATTTTAACTTGTATCTAATCTTCACGAATGGCCTGTATCGTACTTTTCATTTATTCATACTGTATTTTGGTCATGTTTATACACGAACCTTACTTTTGGGAGCCTTCGATACAGCCAAATGCAAACATCACTGTTCGATGTAGTCCAGTCCATTGTTCCTGCGAGATTATCCTTAGCCCTGAAAGGTGTTGCATTCAATGAATATCTATCTTCATTGCGCCTTATTGCCGGCTTAGAAGATTTCCGCATGTCACAAGGTGCTGAAAAGACTAGAAGGCGAAGGTACGTGTTGCCGAAGCCAATTCTATATTTTTCGAGCCCTTCCGATTGGCTGGAAAAATTTAATTCTGGCATCACTTAAGTAGTGTCTTAATTGGCATGATTTTTCGATGCAGGGCACGGGTTGCTCAACATTACTTGAGCAAGGGTACTATGACGTTGTCGCGTGAAGATATATCATTGTTGTGTGAAGGAGATCTGTACAGGAAGATTTTCCCCAAGTATGTTGCTGCCAGCAACAAGGTGGATGGCAACTTGACGTAATTGAACGATTGGGCATAGAGTTAATAATTTATTCATTTTGTTAAAATAATAATAATTTATTCATTCCCCACACTTTACACCCAGACATTCATAGCTCACAAGAATGATGATCGGCATAGGATGGGGGCCCTCCGATCGTGGGCGGCAATTGTAAATTGAACCAGAAGAAATAGGCTGAGCGGATTAGGATTCGAAGTAGGAATTGGCCCGGTTCTGTAAAATGATATCATTGAAAGCCCAGGTTTTCTTTCCTCTTTTTTAACACAAGTATATCTTAATTAATCCTGTCAACTAATTTTCTGGGGTGTTGTTCAGCCTGAGCAAATGCCTCCATAAATTTGTAATTGGACATCATTCATAGGTCTTGTCACGTCTGTTTCAAATGTTCTCATCTCGTCAGTTCTTTTCTTTTTTTTGGGGGGGGGTTGGTTGTGATGGTGAGCCCAATAAAAAACCGTTATTACGACGGCTATATGGCGTTAAGCTTGAAACTAAAGGGTCAAATATTTCCATGAAGTAGATTTCTCGCTCTGTTGCCGCTTGCTAATGGCAGGGAAATCAGGCGGAGGTGAAAATGCCCGTGCAGCTAGCGTCTCTAATAATTGTTGCTAGGACAGAGGACGAAGGTAGATTACCCAAACTCTAGACAGCGTCTTGTAATTCCGCGAAAATGAAACTGAGCATAGTCTTGAGAAATCAGTGTAATGTGCTGCAACGAGTGGATGAATAAGAGATCCCGAGGGACAGAATATCATTTGAGCTTGTATATGTTGTAGGATGGTCCATGCAATGCGTATGCGGATGATAGATGAACTTTCCCTGGCTTCAAATTTTCTGTGGCCTCCCAAATCTTGTGTTGGTGATCACCTACGAAGGAAAATTTCTATTGCTCAAAGGCTGAGTCTCCTGATGATCTATGTGGTGAGACAAATCCCCAGTTCCTAACACTTGAGTCTTACCGGCGACATGGAAGGGTCAGCTTATTGTCATTTACCGCTACTGAAAAAAGGGAGGGGGTCACTTGGGGACCTCGTCGCTTCACTTTGAAAACTTCTAAAAATATTCTGAAAAGATCAAGATTTTGGCTCTCAATCTGGAAGTGTCATCTCTTTTAGAATTTCCCCATACTTTGGTGTTTAGCTTCACTTTTAGAAATATCAACTATATCTTTGGATTTTCATAACTACTTTTTTCTTGGGGGGTGAAATGATGATAACAAATTTGATTTCAAGGGAATCATGATTGTATGATGCCAAAAGCCTTGCCGTCCTGACGCGGCTGTATTAGGAAGCAAATGGGTGTACTTAATAAGCTGTCATGATTATTGAAGCCTATTGCGGACAAGTCTGCGATTGCTTGCTCTTGCTTTGCTTTGCCAAAACCTGACATTCAACTTCATCCTTGCGCTTCATTTTTTGTTCTGTTTGGTTTGGTCCTCCAGAGCTGTGACTGTGAGCCTTTGAAATGAGTCGCCCTGCTTCATTATGACCCCCTCACTCTCTCTCTCTCTCTCTCTGCCTTTCTTCCTCTGTTCAAACCCTTACCACTTGTTTTCTTTGTATTGTCTTCTCTGGACATTGTACGCAAACTGAAATTAAATTTTTTTCATATTTTATAAATTATAATTGAAAATTTGTTTATAATTATTTTAAGCGGTACTATATACTACACGACGAACCATTTCAGATTTCCCCCAGACTTCTCCCTGCTCCTTTCATGCAAGAATAATTTAGCTTACTGTTTTTATTTGGCCAAGACGGCAAGTTAAGACCGTAACTCACCATCCCCGAAAAGACTGATCAGTATATTTTAATATCATAGCAAGCACTAGTATAGACTATTAGATGAACTGTGTTTGCCGATTAATCATTGCCCATGTATCCACAATAGTATGTTGATGGCACAATATATTTAAATCTCGTCACGAGTTGCGAAGATGCATGTCGCTGAACGCTAATTCGTCTGTATTCTATTAATTTGAATCCCTCTCTGATCGTCTCAATATCCAATCAATTCCCTGTCGACTGTCATTCCCAATTCACAAAGGCTCAAGCTTTTTTTTTTTTTTTTTTAACTTTTGGTGAAAGAAAGGCTCAAACTTTCAGGATGAAAGGTCGTTGGAGCGATATTGGTCTGACTCGCCATTTTCCTTCCACTCTGGAACCCCAACCCAGAACAACCATTCCAATTGAATTAAAGTGCAGTGAATGAAGCAAAGTAAATACACTGGATATTGTACCGGCAGCCTCTTCATCCCTGTAGGGCCATGGAATAGCAATACATTTATGTATAATTAATCGTTCATGTGCATGCAGAAACTTTCGGTGTTAATTTTAATTAATTAACGACTAGATAATGCAGCGATGTTCGGCTAAGGTACGAAGCACTGCTCCAAAATGAACAATACTAAAAGAAATTGCCTAGTTTAATGAAGAAAGAATCAGAGAGGTTTGGATGGTAAATAAGAGAAATGTGTGAAGGTAAAAAGGTAAAGTGGGTTGAGCGAGTTTCCCGGGAGCAATAATTTGCAAGTACGACCGCTGTGAGAGAAGTGAGTGCGACTTCGTCTTCCATCATAACTCATCATCTTCCAAACGCAAACAAAACCCAATTCACGAGGGGTCCCAACTCTGACACCCCTCCTTCATCTGCACTGTATAAACTATTTACAATCAATTCCTTTTTCTTTTTTTTTCGAATTTGCCTTTGTTATTATATCTATTATTATATAACCTGTCACTGCTCAGGATTCTTTTACTGTGCACTGACAACTGACGAGTGCACCGTAAGTAAAGAAACCCATTATATGTTTGTTTTTTGTTTTTTACTCTGGATGTTTTCATTGAAAAAATTTTGGCCTTAACGCTGTGGTGATCCCCCAAATGCCCTATTGGGTTTAAATAAGGGGAAATTCCGCGGGATAATCAGGGATAAGGATTATGGGATTACCCGCAGAGGGAGATCTAGTACTTCTGGAGTATTTTATGACTATGGTTATAGATTATTAACATGTTGAGGTGTTTACGTGCTTTCTCTTGCCTGTTTCTTCCTGCGAAACTTCAATTATGGTCTGCTACAATGGCCATTCATGCCTACTATAGCCCATGTAGCTCTGACGCCAATAAATTTTTTTGCCCTCTCGATGCTTCCTATTGAAGTGGCTGAAATTTGCTTTTAGCTTGCTTCGACCAAAAACTAGAACGATGATGAGGCGCCGACAGACTCAGGCTCATTTTTGTTACTTCTTCGGAAAATACGTGTGTATATGTACACAAATTGATGATAGTATAATTAAGAGGAGGAACCATCTCATCTCACCATAATAATGATATGAAAATACAAAGAAGAGTATGGTTGCCCGCCAAAAGGACTCACAAAGGCGGAAGCAAAGGGAGCCGTATTAGAGAGGGAATCACGCTCATGTTAAGAGGTGATGGCAGTTCGAAAGACCAAAGAAGGACCACTGAGGATGATCATGTGCATCATGTGGCATCAGGTAACCCATCATGGGAAATGGGTAATTTGCTTGTTTTATATGCAAAGAAGCTCTTAATGACAAAATATGTCAAAGTGGTGTTGTACATCGGGAATCTGAAAATCTGAAATAGAGAAATAGACGAAAGAGATCGTACAAAGATCCTCTGTTTCATCATCAAAACACCCTGCACCACTTTCCATTCATCACTCCATCTCTCTACAATAAAGCTACGACTAGCCAGCGATTCCCGTGACGCTCCAACCTGCCCTCAGATGAATCATAACCCCTCCTTACCCTAACCTTGCATCATCCCTTCATTCCAATCCCAAGTCCTTCCCCATCTCTCTCTCCCCCTCCCTCCCTCTCTCCAGGGAATAACTTGTTATGACCTCTGCCACACTCTAGCACCCTACTCACCACTCGTTATTTCTCTTCAGCTCGTGATAAATCAGGCGCAAGGATTAAGGAGTACGTGTATAAAAGAGAGGGATGCAAAGCTCAGGTTCATTTTTGAGACAGTTAAGTGCGAAGGAGGCCTGGAGATCAACTTCAAGCAGGTGGAGTGCGAGCAACAACTATAGCTGTGGTGGGTGTGAGGGAAGCGTGAGTCAAATGGAAGGATTTAGTAGTATGTATGGGAATGAAGACAGTGGCATGACGGTTAGGAAGAGAGTGATGGTGGTGGTCGATCCCACTGCACATTCCAAGCATGCTATGATGTGGGCACTCACCCATGTAGCCAATAAGGGTGATTTGCTCACCCTTCTTCACATTGTCCCTCCAAACAGGGGATCTGATTCTTCTTCTTGTTCAACTTATCTTGTCAACTATCTAGGCTCCCTTTGCAAAGATTGCAAGCCCGAGGTACATCTGTTTCACGTTTGAACTCTTATTCCTCTTTTTTTTTTTTTTTTTTTTATAAATGTTATTTTAGCCTTTACTTCTCAAGATTAGAGGTTGGGTGGGCATGGTCTTGAACACAGACTCTGTTATTCCCTCTTGCATGTTCTTTTTTAGTTTATTTTCGGATTCCTAGCTCTAGAGCGAGGCCAAGGGTTAGTAACTTGTGCTTGCTAGATCTTGAATCTTGTTACTTTAAACATTTCAAAGCTGTTCAAAAAGAGGAAATTGGCGCTCCTTTTTCTTTTTGAAGGTTTCTTTAGCCATGATTTTTTTCTCTTGTTCCGAGGGCAAGAGTCAGTCTGTCTCAGTTTTGCTGCCTCCACCGCTACCTTTGCTCTCTGTATCCAGAGAGATATCAGGGGAGCTGTTCAGAGTTTTCAGCTTTTCTTCTCCACGTCTGCTCTATTTTATTTTATTGAGAATTATAATAATGTGTTGGTGTGACTGTCACAGGTGGAAGTGGAAGCACTTGTAATTCAAGGGCCAAGGCTGGCCACAGTTTTGAGCCAAGTCAAGAAGCTTGAGGTATCTGTCTTGGTATTGGGCCAAAAGAAGCCACCTTCCCTGCTCTTCAACTGGTGAGAATTTTTAAGCAGATCCCAACCATAGATATCAAACTAGCGGAATTAAATCTTAAAGAGTATTTTAATCAGCTTTGTTTCTGTCAGCTTATGTGGAACCAGCAGCAGCAGCACAGAGGAATTTGTAGAGCAGTGCATCAACAACGCTGATTGCCTGGCGATAGGAGTGAGGAAGCGAAGCCAAGGAACCAATGGCTACTTTATCAGCACTAGATGGCAGAAGAACTTCTGGCTACTGGCTTAAGCTTTACTCACTTGTTAATTTAGGATTGTCTCACAAAAGTAATAAGCGCGAAGATTAACCTACCATGTTAATGTTGCATCTTTTCGGTTTCGCCCTGTATCTACTAACCACATCCCTGTACTAATGATATGTGATTTGAGGGTACTATAATTTAACATATCCATGTCAGTTTATCTGAGTGTTGAATGACTATGGATTGTTCTGGATCTAAGGCTTCGTTTGTATTTTCTTTAGTAAATTATTTTATGACCATTTTAGAAGATTATAACGACGGAATGTTTAGGAGTCGTAGAGAACTTGTAGTTGAATTTGTCCGGAATCAAATCAATCAAAGCTGAGAATCTGTAGACACATTGTCCTACAAAAAGTAATTATAACCAGGTCCCAAAAAAAAGAGACAAGTAATTATAAAGTTCCGGTGTGTCGTGATCGTCCTACTGCAGAAGCCATTGTGAATTAACATGTAAGAATCACATATTATGAATTAGCCACAGGTCTTTTAACCCCCGCTCACCGTAAGATAAGATGGAGCGCAAAAAAGCAGAATTCCTATTAAGAGAGAAGAATTTTGGTGAATAATGAAGCCGCAGGACTAAGGTGGACATCTGCGGAGCTGATAATCTAACGGAGCAAATAACTGAACACCCTTTTTCCTTGTACCTTTAGCCATCTACTGCCCCGAGGCAACCGGCAGAGAAGTTCACATGGCAAGAAAAACTATACTTTATCATCGAGTTTATCATTTACAAGAGGAAGCAGCTCCATTTTAGACATAGGTGTTCGAGGGGTTCGGGGTGTTCCTGGAACTGTTGGTGGCTGTTGGGATAGCAATTGCCTGACGTAGCCATAGAAAGTACATCCAACGAGAGTCACGGCACATCCAAAAGCATTTGAAGCCGAAATTGGGTTCTTAAATATCAGCCAAGAAACAAGGACCGCAACTGCAACCTGCTCAAGAAGTGTGATTTCATACTTAGTTTGATAAAAAAGGTTTTTTTTTTTTGGCCTAAACAATAGAGAAACAAATCAAATTATCAAGAAGCTAGGTTGTTGAAACAGAAAAATAGAGGACAGTCATCTTTGTAGAAATAATGAAAATGTGCCAACAGATTCTCAGTTAAACTAATGAGTTGAACCATCTCATGATGAAAATGGTGAATTCATGCGTGAAGATGATGACAAAATAAACCTGTCTCAAATCTCACCTTGAGGTTTCCGGCAACATTAAATGTGACAGCAGTCGTGGAGTGAATCACGTAAAAGATCGAAAAGTTAAGACAGAAAGCCATAACCCCTGAGCCTAAAATAATGGTGAGGGCCGACCAAGGATAAGGATGAGTATTAAGCCAATCGATAACTCCATTGCCTTCGACTAATATTGCAGGTATAGCCATGATCATGGTTGCAAAAGGTGCCATGTAATAAACTGTGTTTATGCTGAAGATACACAAAAGATATATCAGCTTCCATATTACAGCAAAATCAAACCCAAGGAGTTCATAGAAACCAGCCAATAACAAAAAATACAGACATACAGCATCACCAAAATGGAAGAAAAGAAACTGATAATTTCAACACAAGCTGCTTAGCTACAAATTATAATTTTCATTCTTGATATTGTTTGCGATCTATTCATTTTAAAACCAATATACAAAGGGATGTTCCCCCCAACCAAGAAAGGTTTAAACCTGCCTAGATCTAATATTATTTTATGCAATTAAAAAACTAAATGAGATGCATCTGCAATCCTCATTTCTAACCAAATAACATATCTAATATGCAATTGAAATTATGTCATTAGATAAAATCATTAGTTCTAGAATGGCGGATCTTAAAGTTCCTAACTTTCAAACAGAGCAAGGACTTTGAGATAAAATCTCCCATATGCCACGACTGTTTCTGGTGTAACTACCACTTAAGTTTAGCCGAATGTGCATCAGGTTGTTATGCACTATGAACAACTAAGTCAATCATATCACACACATAATCCTTTTACTATCATCTTTAATTTATGCCGGAACCAGTGCAGTAGCACCTAACAATTGGCTAAGCTCCAATATGTAATATTTTGGAGTTCTACACTGGGGACAAATGATTTTAAACCTATTCTTCAGCAAGAACAGTAGTGGGTAATGCAAACACATAAACAAGTGTTAGGTTTACATAGGAAAAAGACCAGAAAGATATGAAGAAGCAAAAGCACAAAAGAATAGTAAAATTTAAATGTTGAAGAAAAGTCAAATACACAGATCCTACCTGTCAAATTTATATCCATGTAGAAGAGATTCCGCAAGGATGGTCTTTGTAGATGTCGCGAAACAGCCAAATAATGCAGCGAAAAATCCTAACATATTAAAACTGAGCTCTGTGATGGATGTGAGAAGTATCCCACCAACAATGGGTACAAGAGAAGCCCAAATACGCCAGTCAAATTGCTTTCTCCATACAAGCCATTGCAAAACAACTGCAAGAGTTAAATATAATCTGTGAAATTGTTCTCAATAATGTTGAAATCCAGAAATAAATATGACGGGGGATGTGTTACCAATTACAGGACCTTACCAGTGGTTGCAGGTGTGAACGACTTTATTGTCTGCATAAAAGATACTGGAATGTATCTTAAGCTCACATTTCCCAACACTATGTTAATGCAGAACACAAAAGACATTGGAAATATTCTTCTCCAGCGATCTTCTGGGTCAACAGTTATCAGTGGTTTAAGTTTCAGCACCTTAATTACCACGTGTCCTCCCATTGCAGAGCAGATGAAGTGGACACAGGATACTGTGAGGGGAAACTTGAAGTCCAATTTCTGAAAGGAAAATTTGACGAAGATATTTCAGATTTATAGCATTTGCCGTGATTTATAAAATTTTTCAATAAGGTGATTGAGTGGCCAAGGTGTGGAAGAAGGAAATGCAGAAAGATTGACAAAAATTTTAATAAAACTGATGAAACAGGAACATAAAACGATCTAAATAATAGGGAAATTATAAACATGTCTTCTGCTTCTAGATATCGGTGACATGGTGACACATTCAAACGTCATTCTAAAGGCTGGTTAAGTGAATTATAAACGTGTTTGGATACAGCTTATAGATCATTTAAGAGAATCACAGTTGTGAAACAGGTCTAGCTCCATGAACAACATATTGTTGACCAAAAACTAGAATTTCATTGATCAAAAAGTATGTTATACAATAAAGAAAGTCTGAAGAATTCAGTTATAGGAATTTAAAAAGTTATATCTTCCTAGAGTTCTTTTCACTCTGGTAATTTCATATCTTTCCAGATTCTGAGAATTTAACGGATCAAGTTTCAGCATTTTATGGGGTGAATTCTGGCTAACAATTACAATAGAAAACGGATAGTTGTCCCAAGTGATGAAATAATAGTAGTCCCTCATTGTTTCAAATCAAACTGCACACACAAGTGCAGAGCTATGAATATAATTAACTTAAAAATGACAGAATGTAACTGATTGCGGGATCAAGGTTATAAAACTAGTTACGGGAATAAACGGTGCCAAACAATATATGGCGACATACTTTATCAGAAATAAAAGGAGGGGAAGGGCGGAATGAAGCATAAAAATTATGACAAAAATTCAATAGGGAAAATTGAGAAAACTTTCTCCGGGCGGATAAACAAAAGAACCGGAAAAATACCTGGAAGATCCACTTGTTCATGATAATTACAGTCACATTGAAAGCCCACCATTGAAGAATTGAGAGAAGGGATCTAATCAAGCTCCCCTGGCAAACTCGGCTCTCTTCCATCACCTCCTCCAAGAACCCAATACAGCTGAAAACAGATCAAACAACTCGAACTAGTCCCGACTCAATATCCGAGCCTCCTCCCCGAATAACTAAGAACAAGCCGATTGCAGGAAATGGAAGATAAATCAGCTGCAATTGGGCAAGGAAGATGGTGAGGGGTATGAACGGAAGAGAGTGCCAGGAACGGTGAAGGTGGCTCTTCCACCTCTGAAATGATGTATGTGGCCGTGCCTCTCTTCTGTTTCTATTGCGTTAAAATTCTAAACGTTGCCGCAAGTCTCATTCCGTCTCTTTTTCTCGCCTTTCCATCTATCCATCACGCCATGGAAATTACGCTGCCTTTTGTAGGTGCAAGTCCCGTTTTCTCCCCACCTCCTCGATCCTCACTCATCCTTCTTCGATTTGGCACCGTGGGTCCCATGGAATATGGAGTTCCAAGGTTCGGGTTCGGTGGGGGTCCTTCGGGTTTCCCCGAATTCAGGCGCCCTGATTTTTCATCAGGCTTTTAAATTGAAATTGAAATTCATTGAAGGATTAGAAACTCGGTTATTTAATGTCATAATTGCAATTCAAGTCTTTACTTCTCTAATCATAAAAGCATTCTTAGCATCAATTTCTAGGGGACGCCCCATTTTTTTTTCCTTTTAGTCCGATTCCAAAAAACGCAATCCAAGTGGTCAAAAATGGAATATGATCGACCTGATGTTTTAAATTTGTGGAGTTGAAATCGTTAGAGCCCAGAGGTAAGAAAAGTTTATTTGATGAAAAAAAAAAAGAAAGAAAAGAAACAATGGAGAAGACTGGAAGAAACAAGAGAGATTTAAGTTACTCTTCTAATCCGAGGAAATATTTTTTGTTAATAATACTATTTCCGGTTATTAATGTAAGAGCTAATTAACTAATATGAGTACATTAAAAAAATTAATTAAGTTGGTTATGTATAATAAATAAATGTTATATTTCCTAAAATATCCTTATTAATCAAGTATATTAGTTAAAACTATTATTTTATAATGACTATCTTGAAAAAAATGAATAAACATGAGAGATAAAGTGAATTAAAATCTTATATTTAGGATAAAAATAAAGATCAAATAAACTCTTATATTAATAATAAGAAGTAGTATGGTTATCTCATTATTAAATAAAAATACTAAATTTTAAGATAGAGTTGATAATACTTAAATTTTTTAGTTTTAATTAAATACTATGTTCAAAGTTCCCCAATAGACAAAGTAAATGGACGATGCTGCGTAGAATCACGGCACTTGTGAGCTCCCAAAATTTGGGGGCGGGTCATTTTATTATACTTGGTACCTCTTAATTTCGCCAACTACGCGATTTGCGCTTCTTTAATCTTCGCCTTTTCAACTCTATTTCCCTATTTCTCCCATCAACTATCAGTATATTGGCTGGTGAAATTAAACAT